TATATATATATATATATATATGGTATGCTTTTTTGCTGATAGTTGTCAGGTAAACGTTTAGTTGAAATGACATAAAACTTGATCTATCATTTAGGAAGTAATATTAAACAAAATGCAAAGTTCTAGTATATTAAGAAAGCATATGGCATATCTACAACTATATAAATAGTGTACATGCAGTAATTCCAGCTTCCTAGACAGAAAGTTAAAAATAAAACAATATTATCAAGGAAATAAGAATTAATATCCATTTCTAACTTGAATGATACACGAAGGTACTACGTAATCTGCCGACATTGTAATACCTTCAAGCGGTGTTTCCCAAGAGGAGGATTTAAGCTTCCGTAGGTAGTTTGCAAAACCACTTCTGAGGCAGTATCATCTAGTAACTTCAATAAATCACCTTCAAGAGACATAGATTGTCATAGCATTATACTAAGAAAATGTAAAAAAAGGAAACAACAGAAATTTAATGAACAATAAAATCTTCCCACCCCAACCAGTCCCCACCACCATCTGCATCTTGCATCGTTACCAGTCTATAGCTCATAACCATAATCAACGGCAGGCATCAAAACCACAGAACTTTCGACAACGAAAGCAGTACATTTTTCAAAGGTAGACCCATTACGATGGGTCTTCCAATAGGAGCCATATTTCAGACTGATGCAGGAGCTTCCCACAGACATTTTTGTGACACCTACTATAGTACCACAAACCGCCGCAATAAATTGCGAATTGGACAAGTCTAGGAAGGCCAGTCGACCCTTCCTTCACATGGATTTCGCTCCTATTGGGAGTGAAGTCCACTCCAATTTATCCTAAGTCTAAAAGCAATGTTGTTTTCGTGTTTTAGCTCAGCTTTTAGAGTGTTTTGGATCAGGACTGCTGCCGGTGTCTCTTTTTCCCTTCGAGGGATGTATCCAGGCATTCAGATGGTGTTTCGGTTGTATCTCACTCCCGAGGAGGTTATTATTTTCCCTATTCCCATTCCACATCCTCCCCACAATTCTTTTAGCCGCCCTTTCCGTTGCAGCAGCCCAAACAACCACATACCGTGGTTTTTCCATGCAATCTCCCACTTTTCCTCATTGTCGTCTGACACGGAAGCTTCCCCGCATGGGACCCTCTACGATCCTAATACAGTGTCGCTGCAATCTTGCGACCCTTGTTGCGGCCCCAAAACCACTTCCACGTCTAGACCGGGTGCAGTGAAACTTGGGCAGCAAAGACAGGTTCATGTTGAGATTCTGAGGGCAAATCAACCTTAAAAGGATTTGGCACCTCCTTCTAACAGTGGGCACAATCCTTATTACCTAGGACTTATAAATATGATTCTTATGTGAAGTTTTTTAGTTTTTTTCATGATTCTATTCAAAACAGTTGTAGGTGGTGCTCCGACTATAGCTTGTCTGAGGTGGTGCTCCGACTATAGCTCGTCAGGTGGTGCTCCGACTATAGCTCGTGGTGCTCCGACTATAGCTTGTCTGAGGTGGTGCTCCGACTATAGCTCGTCTGAGGTGGTTACCTTCTTCCAAGAGAGTATTTATCCTCGACCTTTCCTTCCCCGCACTCCTCATTCGCTGCCACGCCTCGTTCCTCATTGCAGCCTCCCAAAAATAGTCGTTTCCTACTAATTTCTATTGTTTCAACTTTCCAACCATTTGCTCCTCTTATTTCAGCTAGAAATCATATGATAGAACTAAGGTTATGCTAACTTTGATAGCAAATAATACGGAGTTAACCCAAACAATAATAAGAACACAAATATTATTACTGAAATCAAATATGTGATTACAACTACATTCACTTAAATACAACAACAAACACAACTAAATATATCCAAAGGTAATAGTCGGTTTGGTGAGTGATCCATAAGAGGATGGTGATGTGGCGGTGGATGGCTATAGAAGGTGGAAGAGGAAGTTGGAGTGATCTATAATAGGGAAAGGTGAAGGTTGGCGGGCTGAACGATAACAAATCGGGGCTCGTTGGAAGGCTAGAACAGCGGCAAATAGCTAGGAACAGTTGTTCGAGATGGCGCAGCGAGCAAAAATGGAGATGATGGGAGGAATGTGTGGGACTGCGAAACGACAAAGAGAGGGTTGTCTTGGGCTGCAGTAGCAAAGGCGGATGGCTGGACAGTGAAGAAGGGTGGCTAGAATGAGTGGTAGCAGATGGCTTGCAAGAAAACATAATGAGTGTTGTCTAATGGTTTCGGCAGCGAAAAAAGGAGGTGACGGTGGCGATGGGATTGTTGTGGAGGATGGGAAGTCAAGGATAAATACTATATCGGGAACATGCTACACCTAGAGCACCACTCACCCCATGGAAGAAGATCAACACCTCATACGAGCTACAACCGAAATACCACCCTCCATTGGATAAAGCCCTACAAGAGGGAAACCAGAATAACGACAACTATCATGCACATAAACATGACCAAAACTAACCTTAAACTCTCTGAAACACAAATATATAAAAAAAAAATAAATAGAAATGGGCCAAAAGGCCGACCAAACATTCCACAACATAAGAAAGCCTGAACCAAACTGGTCTAAGCAAGCAACACTTCGCCCACTCAGGTGTAGTACTTCATGCTTCCGCTACCAGACTAGCAGCCAAGCCCTAAAGTGGGCGTGAGCCCATGAGTGATGTCGAGACAAGGGAGGATGCATGCAACCAAGGGATGCTAAGATACAAGGCCGTGACCAAGCTACTTTGGAAAGGAAAAACGCCCCCCAAGGACAAGAAAGTCGACAAGACATGTAAGACAAGCTCAAAGAAAAAAAAGGTATGTGCTACGCCTGTGCCTAAGGGCAATTTAGTCTTTTATTAGTTACTATTGTGGAATATAAATATGACTCATATGTTTAGGGTTCGAGTTATGCAGAAGATTGTGGTCTTGAGTCTTAGTTTTATGATTTGAGAGAGAACGTCTACCTCTTGAATTATAAGTGTTGGGAGAGATTACCTACCTCTTGAATTGTATGTGCTTGTATTTATGTATTCATAATGAGTTATTTTGTATTAGTGAAAAAAATATTTATTTTGCCGTAATTTTTTTTTAAATTCATCTTGAATCGTATCAGATTGGTATCAAAGCCATTTTCTACAAAATTTAGGGCAAAAAGAATTTTTTTTTCTTCACTAAAACAAAAAATTACAACATGAAATCATAAATATAAGCATCTACAAATCGAGAGGTGGGAGACAACTCCCGACACCTACAATTTGAGAGGTAGGCTCCCAAATCCTAAAACATAAAACTTGAGATCTCAATCTTATACATAACCCTAACCCTAAACATATTAGTGTATTTATACCCCCCAATAATAATTAATGAAAGATTAAATTGCACTTAGGGGGGGGGGGACTATTATTATGTCGGTGCCTAAGAGCAAATTAATATTTCATTAGTTATTATTGTGGGGTATAAATAGAACTAATATGTTTAAGGTTAAGATTATGCATGAGATTGTGGTCTTGAATCTTAGGCTTAAGGTTTGGGAGAGCACCAACCACTCAAATTATAGACGTTGGGAGAAAAAGCCTACCTCTTGAATTATAGGTGCTCGTATTTATGTATTCGTGTTGTGTTATTTTATATTAGTGAAGAAAAAATACTTGTTATGCCCAAATTTATGTGAAAAATTAGCTTTGATAGTATCAAATTGGTATCAGAGCTGATTTTTCACAAAAAATTAGGGCAAAACAAATATTTGCTTTTCACCAAAACAAGACAACACAACACAAATAAATAAATATAAGCACCAACAATTCAAGAGATAGGTGATCTCTCCCAACACCTAAAATTCGAGAGGTAGACTCTGAACCCCTAAAACCTAATATTCAAGACCACAATCTTATGCATAACCTTAACCCTAAAAATATTAGCCCTATTTATACTCCACAATACTAAATAATAAAAGAATAAATTTCCCTTAGGCGCAGACGTAATAATATTCCTCCTAAAAAAGCATCTTCTCCACAAAGTGGGAAAAAACAAAATTGATGCTAGATCAAGTCGTTTGGCTCCCATGTGGCGTTCTCATCTAGCATTTTTTTCCATTTAATCAGAGACCCGTAATGACCCTCACCATCTCGAAATTTCGTCTTGTGCACATCCGTCAACTGCATTTGAATCTGATGGTATCATAACTTCAACTCAATCCAAGAAAATATTATCGCCCCAGACAACTCATCCATTAGCTCACTGATCCCCGAAATCTCTGCCAACTCTGTAACATGTTTCTCTTACATGTTATGCAACTCGATCAAGAATCTTAGCAATGTGTTCTAAATCACCCTCATCATAGTCTTCAGCGTCACCAATATCTTGCACAAATTGGGTTCACCTCAAAGCACCACGATCTTGTCTTCCTCCTAATTACTCTGCAATATCCAAACTAGTCCCTTACAAACACCCCAGCTTTTCTCCACCTCTCTTGTTCCTATCATTACTTCTGAACCATCTTTTGCACGAAAAATTATTGCCACAAAAGGCATTCGTGCAGATGGATGCAACCCTTCGTCAAAGTCCCACCAACCATGGTTCCTTGTCCCAAACCAAATAACTAGTGATCTTCTCCAACCCCAAATTGCATGCCGTCACGATTTGCTTGTTGTCGCTTGTACCAAACCTCAATATGTCGTGCAATTCTCTCTAGATGTTGCCACTCGAATCTGTTCTCGACTCATTTGTTCAATCCTACTTGCTTCCTTTTGTTAAAACCATCCAAATGTCATGCTATTCTTCCAAGTGTTGCCACTCGAGTCTGCTCTTGATTCCTTCGCTCGATAACACAGCTCTCGGTCTGCCAAAAGCAGCGATGTTGCCCAAATGTCATGTGAATCGTCCTTGTTGTTGTTGTTCGCGTTCATTACTCGATCTCTCGAAGGGTGGAGGCAGATATCCCCTCCATGGACTAGAATCGCCACTTGAGAGATGAAAAATATTCCTCCGCTTCATATCTAATTTAGTTTACCTCTTTCTCTAATTTCTTCTCTAGAGCGTCTACTCATTTGGGTGTCATTACTCACATGATTATTTTTATCAAGTAAACTAAACTTGTGTAAGCTAAAATCCCGTCGATGGCTTCCCAAGTAGTTTAAATCGTGCTTGTACTGTAAGGTCGCCAACCGCTATCCCTTCTTTGCTTCTAGAATCGCCTGAATCGCGACTGTATAGGCAGGTTGTATCCTTGATCCCGTGCTTGGCTTCCCAGCTAGGTCGAACCGAGAATGTATCACGTGGTTCTATCTTGATGGGTGACTATATGGCCATTATGTTGCTTCCCAAAAAGCTGGAATTGCGAATGTAAGAGTTGTTGGAATCACAATTGTAAGCACGGAAATTGTTGGAATCACGATTGTAAGCGCAACAACTATTGGAATCTCGCTTTTAAGCACGATTGTATTCTGCGATCCCGTTGTTGGCATCCCTACGCAATCCCGTCATTGCTTTCCCCGCTAGCTCTGATCGTGATTGTCATCATGCCATGTATGTGATTCCAACGTCTCCTTCCCAGCTAGCTCTTATCGCAATTGGATCGCCTGATTTTGGCATCCCAACGATCTTGGCATGTCCCCACTAGCTCGAAATCCTACATACCCGCTAGCTCTAATGACGACTGTATCGCGACGATGTAGGCAGCAATCCAATCAACTTTTTCCAAGCCGCGACTGTAACCTGATCCTGATCCCAGTACTGCAATGTGACTCTGTTTGTTGTTTCCCCATCTTTTGCTTCTAACAAAATCGTTTTCTGATACCAAATTGATACGATCCAAGCCAATTTTAAACATAAACTAGAGCAAAATAAATGTTTTTCTTCACTAATACAAAACAATATAACACAAATATATAAAGATAAACACCTACAATTCGAGAGGTAGACAATCTCTCCTAAACCCTAAACCCTAAACCTAAGACTCAAGTCCACAATCTCATGCATAATACTGACCCTAAACATATTAGTCATATTAATACCCCATAATAATAACTAGAGTGCTTGTGGTGAAAAAAAAAAAAGGTGCAAAAGCTTGCACAATAATGAATGCCAAGAAATTTATGCAAAATTTCTAATAAACTAAGGGTGATGAAAGAAGTATCAATATCTTGAGAATGGGAGAAGAATGAAGGATCAGTCTACTCAAATCATCATGTATCAAAATGTCAACCGAGTAATGAGAAATAAAGGAAATATAATTATATGCAACTTATACCAACAAAAGAACTATATAATATAATTATTGCCGCTATTCATTCCTTTTATAAGTGTATTCGGAGTTAAATATAGTTTAGTCGAATCCAGCAAATAATTCTCAATGGTGACTCTTCAACTCGAATGTCAAACCATACACAGCTACTGTCTTGTGACTCGCCTATTCCTTCTCCCTAAGTTACCATACACTTGTACACTCAATTTTACGAGCTACGAGCTGAAACTAACGCCATCAAAACAACCTCTCCTCAAAACTCAACCAAATTAATCTAACATAACCATCAGTAAATTATGTTCTTTAAAACTCCTCGTTCTCATTCCAGATAAAAGCTGCCATACAATGGGATTTTGTTAAATTTTCCTTCAGCTTTCCCAGTACTCATCCATCAGCAAGCACTCAAGGCTACCTTCTATTTTCTTCACCAAGCAATAATCAAAATAGATGTCTTCATTTGCAACTCCATCCTTCTATATAATTGACTAATCATACAAACCCATCAATATGACTGGGTGATTAGTTTAACGATCAAATAAATTTGGCTTGAACTGAGCTTAAATCTAGCGAAACAAATTAAGCCACATCTTAGAGATGTGGAGTCAAATTTCTCCAACAGATTGCAAAATCAAAATACACTGAACGGTTATGATACAAATATTTTTCCAGCATTCCTAAAAAATCATTTACAAGTCCATGAACTTGAGTAATACCGTTCCTACCCTAGCTATCATCATGTCTACAACTAGAGCTGCTCAAAAACGATCATCAAAAGAAAAGACCTCGCGTTCAATTCATTTAACTAATATGCTTGCAAATATTCAATGATTATTTTAAACTAACTTTTCAAGCAAGTTAAACACAGCAAAAAAAAAACTTGTTTGATCCTGTTCAGCTCATTATTGGCTCAAAAAATATATAACCATATTATTAATTTATATTTTTTTCAATTTATTATATGATGGGCTTTTCTTTTGGAAATTCATTGAATTCAAATAAAAACATTACTATTGAGCCTGAAGCCCTGTACGACCAGGCTACAACATTGTTTGCTTAATACATAATAAGAATAATTTACCGTGTTCAACTTGTTATTTATTTTTATTTATTTAAAATCAACTAGTGCTCAACTCAAATTAGAATAAGTCTAACACAAACATGATGTATAACAACCTAAAAGTTCAACGAGTTGAATACAAATGCCCGGTAACCTTGCACGAACTCAGATCATTTACATCCCAACAGATCACCCTCTGAGCTCTATAAAAATGAGAAGGCTGAATTGTATTGAACTATATCTCTCAATCTTCTCTTTACTTATGCTAGGTCTAGAGGCAAAGGTAGATGGAGAATTGAAGTTCAATGACTGTCATTCGTGGCTGGTGCCATGTAAAGGGATTTCTTCATTGAGAGGCTAACAATGAACACTAGAATCAAGAGGTAAAAGCTGGAAGCAAAAAATTTTTTGAGTTCATATTTCTATAGTTATCATAAATATGCAGATATATATATCCATATCTATATCTATACATACATGCATATAAATATGCATACATACATATATACATACATCCATGCATGCCCACACACACACACACAGAGACTATATATATATATATATATATCTAATTCAATCATGAACTGATTTCTATCCCAAATTGGATTAGCTCAAATTTAAATCATTCACCCCCCTCTCTCTTCTAGCAAATCAACCTATCTTCAACTGATTTAGAAAGATGAATACTATCAATCCTAAACTCTGATGACTGAGCATTTTCATCCAATTGACAATAAACAGAAAATTATAAATCAACGCACCTAAGTTCTCTAGCATGGCATTAACAGTATCTGGGTTGGCATTGACCATTGTTCCACGGCTTAGCTGACTTCTGAATGATTGGTATGGAGGAGGTAACAATTTCTTAGGGTCCAATAAAGATATGCATACAGACAATGAGTGCACCAAAACAGATTTGGGTCGCGAATCTTCAAAGGCATGATGTAATAATCTTCCCACAAAACTGCAACGCACAATATTACTCTCAAAAATCATATTACCTCTGTAAACAGAAAATAATTATAAAAAAAAACTAAAGCAAAGGTCCCAAGCACATGCAATAATTTTTTTTAATGACAATTCCAGTAGCCGCCAATACTGATACCTTGGGCTGCAAATCTTGGCTGCAAGTCCAGGAGGAGCATATCTAGTAATCGCACAGAGGACTTCAGCAGTGTTAGCATGAACTTCAGGCAAATTCTGTACAAAATTACAAAATATACGAAAAAATGGTCACCTTATAAATCTTTAACATTAAAATTTTAGACTGGGAGCTTTTTCAGTAAAATCTAAATCCACAAAAACTAACTACGGAATAGATAAAGAGACTGAAAATTCTGAGGCAAGGGTGATAGCACTGTAATTGGCTGCATAAATTAGTAATGCAAATCCAACGTACAAAAATTGCAAACAGCAGTATAAGAACCAACAAAAAACCCCCCAAAAAAAAAAAAAAAAAAAAAAAAAAAAAAAAAAAAACATTGTTATGAACCAAGAAAACCAGTACAAGCTAAACTTTTTCTTATTAAAAGAATGTAAATTACGAAAATTGACTACAGTAGAAGTTTTAATACTAATTAGCCATTTATGAACTAACCATGGCAGATATAGACGTACAACTAGAGGAGAAACACCAAAAATATCAATTGGAAAAACACCAAAGAGAAAAGGAGATATGTTCATACCAAAATAAAAATAAAAATAAAACACTAAAAAAAATCACTACATATTTGTTATTTCTAGTAGAAGAAATGTTAATCAACTCTAGGTCAATCCCCATATGTAAAATAAAATTAAAAGGGGTTTTACAGTATATACAAATTCAATAAAAAAAAGAAACAATGAAAGCTGGAAGTTTTGGAATGGTGTGGGAAACAAAACAAAAGTTATAGCTTTGGATAATTTATATAATAGATATGGCATCAAAGAAAATGAGAAAAAGTGATCTATAGAATAGCAAAATAAGAGATAAGAGATACAAAATCTAAAAATTTTGATAGTGCTTTAAATGTGAAGATAACAAAATATGATCATGAATTTTAATGATATTGAAAAGGCATATGATTAAGTTTCATGATAACTTGCTGTACATTAAAGCGCAAAGATGTACTTCAGATGTAAATTTAAATTATTATATAAACAAATATATGATAGATCATTGGCTAATTTTAGTAGTTGTCTAGTAATAAGTTTACTCCAAATTAATATTAAATTTTAATCTTTTTTCTATTGATTATGAAGATGCATACAATAAATATTCATTAAATCCAATAAAATTTTAAAAAATATATCAAATTAATAATATAATCAGCTAAACACTTAAAGAACATTTTGATTTTTTTTATAGAATTTGTATCGGATATAATAGATATAAGCATAAATATAATATATCCTAATAAAATAATTGATACGCCATCAATAAATTTTCATCATACGACGTGGATATCAAGGCGTGGCATGGTTCTTGAGGAAAGTTTTTTAGCAAAGAATGTTCAAAGTTCAATTAAAAATTATTCAGAACTCTGCTTTCAGCAAGCAAACTGACGGGCTCGACGAAACAAACAAGACACCAAAGTTGGTGCAATTCGAGTCAAATCAAGCCTAGATTGAGTGGTTACACAATTATTGGAAGCTTATGGTAACAATTGGAAGATCAAATGAACCCAAATTTGATAATCTTATAATCAAATTGAGTGTATCGACAAAACGAATCCAACGAGCCCAATATCACAAAATTCTGACATCATTAAGGCACTCAAATCTTATCCAACTAAGAGGATCTCTCTGGGTTGTCCAATGGAGTGGTTTGATTTTTTTTTCCTTTTTTACCAAGAGGCCTCTCCTAGACTCTATAAATAGAGCCTTGCCACCTTCATGAAAGAGGAAAACCTGAGCTTGTAAGAGAATCGAGGAAAGGAGTACAAGTACAGTGTTCTGCACAGAAGATCGGCAAAGGCTTCACACTCCTGACGTTGTTGACCAGCGTCGACCACTGCTCATCGACTATCGTCGACCACTATCGGTTGTCTCATGCTCATTGCAACGACTATGCAGAGTAACAAAGCACTTTGTTGAACCAAATTTGCAGAGTAACAAAAAATCTTATTGAACAACGACCAATGTTGCAGAGTAACAAAACATCTTGTTGAACAACAACTAACGTTGCAGAGTAGCAAAGCCCCATGTTGAACGACCAACTTTGCGGAGTAACAAAATGCGTATTGCAAAATTAAGAAGCACTATGTCGAGTAGCGGCCAAAGTCATGGAGCGAAGCATTCTACGAAGTAGTGAGTCGTCCAAAACACTACACAACAACGCCCTTCAAAGAAGGTTGTTCAACATACTGCAGCCGCTCCCAACCCCTGTGCAACGAGTCTTCCTGCCTATGAACACTATAATTGTGTGATATTTTCCCGTCTGTGGGACAATGGACTGTACCTGATTATTTTTTATTGGGTTGGACTACATGATTTTTTTTCCCTTTCAGGTTTTTCACATAAAAATTTCCAGTGTCTATATCTGTCACTTTTATCCAAGTGTGTGTCAAATTCTTGTGCAACACTAAGATAATAATTTATTACTCCACCATGAATTCTCTAGCATACATCAATAATATAATTAAGAAAATTTTTGGCTTAGTTGAACAAATTGAGCAAAATTGCAAATGTCTCGTTCACAATCATAATGCATAGTGCAAACACTAATGCGAAGATGATGCCAAGGGCTCATTTGAAGACTGGGCCAACTGATGAGTAGCTGATAGCAGCAATATACTAGGATGTGCATGCCATCATGTCGAGTGAAGGGAGGTGGGGGGTTATGCACTTTAGCCATTTCAAGCCTAAAATGTGCTCAAATTCAAACAAATTTTGGTGATGTAAAAATAATTATAATAAGATTTTTTTTTTACTTTGTCAATTCCCATCATTTGAAGTCCCTTTGATAGTGTAATAATGCTTGAAGTCATAATTTACAATTGACATGGCTCTTTGGAGTTGTTTTAAGAATAATAATGTGCATCAAATATTGTACTTGGATAAATAAAGGCCATGTTCAAATTTGCTAAAGTACAAGTGCTACTCAATTCCTGCCTCGACAAATTTTGAGAAAAATGCTATGAGACGTACGCCTCAGTGGGGTTGAGGTGCGTCTTTACATGATTTTGAAGAGGTGAAAGCCTAAAAATTAACTTAATTTATAAATTTCACACATAAATTAAACTTATTTTGTGATTTCTTTACACTTAAATTCAAAACAAACAATATTGATAATAGCGCACACCTCCTTGAACCTAAGCCACATGCTTCACCCGTAGTATTTAGAAATAAAAAAGGATAATGTTGTTACAAAAAAAAAATAGTAGAAAAACATTCCCTAGCTACGCTTCTAACATTTTTCAAATAACTAAATTAATTGAAAATTAGAAAAAGATTTTATTTAAAATGAGTTGCTAATATAGTCGTTGTTTGTATTCAATATTTTTCATTGAATTTTATGAAAGGAAAAGAAAAAAAATGCATGAGATCAAAAATGAAAAGAAAGATTAGGACAACGCTGAAACGGCCATGAAAGAATTAATCATTGCAAAAATTTTAATTTTGTAATGAAGCTCTAAATGATGAGAGAGTAGGGAATAATTTGAATTAATAAATAATGATCTTAATGACTTAAGAGTTGATTGTTTATATTGAGTTAAGAGTAGGATAGACGTATTGTTATGATCTTATTACTTTAATGCTAGTCTATATTACTTATGATTTCATATTTTTCATTAATTTTATAAGTTAATTCTAAGTTTATACATCAGAATGCCCCAAGACGTGCGTCGTATCATACGGATAAAAAAAGTCTCATCACCCAATTGCACAATTTCAAGCCTTGGATAAATATTTCATGAAACTAACAGTTAACCACAACTTTCAGGTCGTCGAAGTTTGTAAGTCAAAATATATTTTAAGTCTTGAAAAATCTGCATGCCAAAATGGCAATCTAAGGGGAAAAATATTAAGATGCAATGAATTCTTTAATTTCAATATGAAGCCCCACTCGAGGCCACAAATCAAATGACTTCCCCTTAATTGATACTTTCATCTAGTAAAATTACATGTTCTATGACAGGAAGTGCAGTAGGAAATTATGGTAGAACAATATCACATACGTAGGACAAAGGTCTTCCTAAAGTGGAGGAAACGAAGTATTGCCATCAAAAACAATAATAAAACAAAGCGACAAAGTTGTTCAAAAAGAATTGAGCAGCACATATGATGGCAATGTTTCCTGCAGAGATGCAAACGACCTGAAGTAGACATTGGGTGAGACTTTTTGTCGGAGAAAGTGGGAGACAAATGTCAATAAATAAGGTGACTTCGTGTCAGCAAAGGTGGTAACTTAATTTCAATGAAGAGGCAACTTTGAATCAACGAAGTAGATGACTCCATGTAGAACAAAACACAATGCTTACTTAATGCATATAGGAGTTAGGTAATCTCCACATACTTAGAAGAGTTTAGTCTCCATAAGCAGGGCTTGCTGTTATGCTCATGTGGGGATTACGTGACATTAAGCCCTCTTAAGGATTTTAGTGGGAGCCTTATCTAACATTAGATATCATCTAAGACTTACTCATTAGTGAGCCCTTTAGGAACTTTTTAACATGTGAAGAACATATTGTTCACCTGCCACTTTGGGGCTCATGCATCGATAAGCCATCCGATGATATTTATTGAGGACATTATCCAAGCTCCGAGGCTCAGTCATCATTGCACCATTATTTGGTATCGTAAGGTCTCATCCACATGATGTTGATTGATAATCATTTGGAGGCTACACCCAACCCCCATCCTAACCTCCAAAAAAATAATATGGGTCTGTTCCTCTGTGGATTTGTCATAGCTTATTTCTATGATGTGGGGTGATAAATCATCATTCGCTGAGGATAACCAGAAAAAGATTCATAGGTTATGGACGTCAGAAATAAGAAGCATTATGATCAGGAAAAAAAAAAACAAGGCTTCATGCAATTGAAACAACTCTCAGTGGCAGTAAATATAAAATAAAAAAAGTTATCCTTCCACAAGCTCAAAAATAAAGCATTAAACAATACAAATCAAATAAAAATTGATTCAAGTATCATGGATGTTTATGGGGACACAAGGAGAAGGTTAGAGACATAGATGGAGATGACTGCATTGCTCGTTTCCCTGGAGATGAAAGTGGTATGATAACAGCTTAGTTGATGAGGTGGGGCCACAAGATGGTGGAAGCCACATAGATGATTGAATGAATCCTACCTTCTAGGAGGAGACAAAACAGCATCAAGGCAATGAAGAAAGAACGAATAAGAAATCATGGAGGCAACCGAAGATGACAAAAACAAACCTCCCATTGAGATGAAAATACTACAACCATGAGGAGACAACAAGAGCAAAGAATGAATGTGTCACGAAAGCAGCTACCAAACTAATGATCCCCTAAGACGTGAAGATGCTATAGTAAATAAAATCATGAAGTTGTTCAAGGGTGGTGAGGGCAATCCTTTTGGAGATGAAGATGGCGCAACTATTAGACATGTTATTTCACTATCAAATGCGGAGTAAATCCTCATTCTTCTAATAGCAAGTGAAGTAAAAACATGTAGAAAATTTCATTTGTAGTGTTTGCTTCTGTAATATTTACTCCATGATTCTACATGAAATTGAAAGTCGAATCACAATCGGACAGGATATTACAAAATATTATTGAGAGAGAATAAAAGAGGGTTGATCAGATGGCCCCAAGCCAAATAGCTGACAAAGCAATGGCCACAACCTATCTTGTATCATGTTATATGTTCTTTAAGTCACATGAATGAGGAATGAGGGAAAGAAGCGGTCGGTCTAGCCAATTTGTACAATTCAGATCACATATGTACTTGTATTTAGCAATTTTATTGTCTGTGAAATAATGATGATGGTACAACTATTTTGACAGTAAGTTGCATTGTTTACAGTTACTTACGTCCATGAAATAATATTTTAGTCCGTAATGTGTCATCAGTTCACCTCCTCTAACTTGCATTGAGATAATATTGACTTATTTTACAAACAAATAAAAATAAAAATATCATAATATTTGTCAATAAACATGTTAAGTAGCTAATAAGATGTAAATACTAATTTTATCTTTGCTTAAAAGGAATAAAACATGCGGTTTACAAATATAAAAAGTACAGTTTTAATAATTTATAATATAGCTAATTAATTATATTAAATGACAATTTATAATTTAATAAAAATTTCAAAAATAACTATGATTACAACAATAAAATATTTATTATCATCACAATGGCTTACAATAAAAAATGCTCCTAATGAAAATATAAATAAGGGAATAGCATACATATCATGTAAACTTATTTATAAAACAAACACTCATCATTTTCTTGAACTGTTAAACTCATATTTACACGTCAGAAACAAACTTTCAGATTTTGACACAAGCAAAAAATTTTGGTTCATGTTTTTTTAAGAGTCTCGATATTTGGATGAATAATTGAAAATTATATGATGATACTTTTTTGTAAATAGCAATGTTTGAATGTTATGTATGCTGTAATTGTCCTCATCCATATTATTTGTAAAGATCATAATTATAACAAAAGAAAAACAGAAAACTTTCTATTTGGCACCATTTAAAATTACTTCAATTTTTTGTTTATCTTCCTTTCAAAAAACTATAGAAATCTATGAAATAATCTTCCCTTCAAATAAGTATAGAAATCTATGAATTAATCACTCATGCAGAGAAAACTTTTTGTTTCGTGTATTCTTCATGTTAAGAACATCTTTAGAGCATTTGCACGAGTGTTTGCAGTAGTGGTGTGAGTGAGTAAAGCTGACTCGTGAGCCAGCTCGAGCTTGGCTCGATAAGTGGCTCGTGAACTGAGCTCAATGAGCTAACAAGCCAAACTTAAGCCAACCCTGGCTCGGCTCATTAGCTCAGAAGTCGGCTTAATAAAAAAAAAAAGATATTAAATATACTCAAAATATATTAAATTTTAAGATTTTATATTTCACGTAATTTCTTATTATTTATCTGTTAATTATTCATTTTATTTGTCATCTTACTATAAAAATAGCTTAAATTATTATTATTTTCTTTCTTTTATATTAAACAAGCCGATCTCGAACTCTTAAACTTGAGCACGAGCTCGAGCTTGAAAAAATTAATCAAACTCAAGCTCAAACCAAATGTGACTCGAGCTCAACTCAATTCGTTTTACACCCCTATTTGCTAGTGTTGAATATTGGTATAGGTTAAAGCTTTCTACTGCAATAATAAACATCAGAAGCTATTCCTCTCTAATCAAATGTTTCTATTTCTATTCATGAATCTTTATTAACTATCAAGCTCATAGAACTAGAGACAAATTTTACTCTTGTACAAGAAATTAGAAAATATTTATTATAAGTTACTGAAATTAAGAAGTAAATGTGAATGCTAAAACTAAAAGGTAAGTCTAAGTCTGGAACAAATATTAGGCCTTAAACTAAACATAAATTTCTGAATAACCAAAGACAAAATCACATCCTCACAAAAAATACCATTGATCATCGATTAAAGTAATAAGCGAGACTAGAGCACATAACAAAAACAAAATTATGCTCGTCACTAGCATATTATTACCAATCTAGTGTCATAAACAATAAGAGACTATAACAATAACATTGATCATCAATAAATGTAATAAGCAAGGCTACAGCACATAAAAACAACAAAATTATGCTCGTCACTAGTATATTATTCCCACACTACGGTCATAAACAATAAGAGACTATATAAGCTTATAGCACATACCGATGAACTGAACTTATTGACAATCAAGTCAAGAACATTTGCATCATCCAACCAGTGCAATGAATCAGTATAGTTCGAGTACATATTTTCATCAGCACCAATCAACCGAATTAATACCTGCAAAATCAATTGAATGCATCAAAACACAGTCTAAAGTACAAATGTCATGAACATATGACATCAACAAATATGACAATTTTTTTTTTAATATCCAACGGTCAAAAAAAAAAAATGACAACAAGATTTGAATACCAACCTCCATTATAGATGTGATGCCAATCAAATCAATTAGTTGATGGAAAACTTCTTGGTGACCCTTTATGATGGTAGAAAAAACCAAGTTAGAAAATGTTCAAGTAATTCATGATACAAAAGTAATTCAATAAACATCCATGAGAAAGTTATTCACAGAAAAGAAAAAATCCCGCAAGGCTATTAAGAATGTATTCGCTAAGTTTATCATTCAAGAAGGTGCAGAAAACACTGATCAGCAAAGATAATAAACATCAGCAAAAGCTTCGGAAGAATTTCCTACAAGCACTCAAGTAGATCCTAATATTGACCTAATGAAAGAACTGGATAATTTGTCTTACTTGAACATAGGTCATGAGTTGGGCAGTCTTCCTCGCCATCAAGCATAAAACAACCTAACAAGTAGAAACATGCAAAAATTCAATATTAATGCCTAAAATCAACATTTAAATAACTTATGCAAAAAGACCAAAACCTTGCTGAAGTAACCAGCCAACAATGTACTATGCGGGAAATCAGGCTTCAAATAGGAAAACAACAGGTCCATCAGCTGCAAAAAAAAAAAGAAACAAGAATCCTTGTAGAATTAGCAAGGTCCAGGCAAGAAAAAACATATAAATAGACTAAAGAGCTACTTTTGAATAATGAATATAATAAAATCCCAAACCTCTTCATCCTCAACCAAAGTTCGTAATATGTTTTCAACCTCACAAGTAAAAATTTCACAAGCAATAAATGGAAACCTGCGTGAAGAAGATATGCAAATAATATTCCAAAAAAAGGGGAAAATAAGAATCTTTATAAAATAATTACTCAAAATGGGTTCAGAATTTTACTTGAAAATTCGCTTCTTCTCAGCATCCTCAGGGGCTTCTTCAACGATGTAGCGAATCAATTGCTCGACTTGAGCCCTCTCCCGAAGACTATAAATAAGAATAAAGAAATATTGTACAACATGAAGCAAAAAACTATATGATTACATTAAAAATAAATATAATCTTCTGAGAAAAAAGTACTAAAATCTTTAAAACAATGCCTTTGATTATGACCCACTTAAATATTCCAATCAATCAAATATAAGACTGGGAAATCATATCATTAACTTGCCCATTATTTCTATCAAACCCAATGATCTTTGAGAGGAACATCTGATCTGATGTCCAATATTCAGAAAAGACCGTAATTTTTGCCTACCAACATGTAAACATTACACATAAACGCATAAAATAACATAAAAAACAAGCAAAAAGAAAATTTTACACATCAGTGAAAATTACAAACACTATTTTAGATTGAATTTAAGGGATAAAAAAAAAACTCCATTCTCATAGGACATCCTAAAAACATTGAGCCGCAAAACAGTGCCAAAAAAGCCTAGAATGCCATGCCAAAAGCTAAAAAAAAACCAATTAACTGATATCAGCTGAAAAGACCGTGCATATTTAAAATACTACAAACAAAAATACCCTGAATAGTATGACCAAATTAAAACAAATATTAATGATGGTACGTACTCTCACCTACGAAAAGACTACAATGGCATCCTAGATAGCATGTGCTTTTGCCATCTCCCATAACTAAAAAACTCAAAGAAACCAATAAATGTAAACACCATCCAAAACAGTATATGTCAAGCAGCGAAACCCAACATAAAAGATAAGGGAAATTAACATACATGCCACACAATTCTTATGTAATTACATATCCAACACCCAATTTTTGATATTTACAATTATAACACTTTGGTGTAATAAATATATGTATGAAAAAGGTGTATATGAATTCTTAAGAAGGTTATGTAAAATGTTAATTAATCCTTGGTTTTAATTATGTGGGGCATGCAGAGCCAGAGTCGAACATAGAGCCCGAAAACCGCAAGTCCGACAACCACTGGTAGTAGTGTTGGTCAGTCTGCTCCTAAGGAGTCTGATTACAAGATTTGAAGGCAGGTTGTTGGGAAGAAGGGAATGATATACAACCTGGTTGTATAGGGTATTTCAGTTGAGACCGCGCACTCCCGATCTGCTCAAGGTTTGAGGTCGTCGTCATCAAACCATGACAAACTTGTCTAGTGTGTTGCTGCTAAGACCGCGGAGCTCCGTCAACTACATGAGGGGCAGTAGAGAGTTGAGGTCCCTGTAGTGCGACTAGAGCACGTTGTGACGCTGTGGCCAGCGACCTCTGAGTTCAGTTTATGAGGAAGAGGAGAATGCGGATGATTGCGATGAGGATGCCCGGTAGGATTTTGTTTTTTTTTCATGTTTGATATTTGAGCATGTATATAGCATAAATAATTTTCATTCGCAATTTAAATTTTTTTATGGAATGGACAATATGATGTATGATGTAATGTATGATAATTTTATTTATTTTCCTTATTGATTTATGTTTATGTAATCTATTGTGTGTTTGTGGTGAGTATATATTAGATGGACACTTATATTATGTTTGCACAATTTGTTTTGTACAGGAGTACAAAATGTTATTGTTCTTTTAAAAAAAAATTACTACAGGTTTGTGACGAATTTGTGTCCTCTTATTGATGCAAATTAACGTCGCAAAATTGCAACATATTACGACATTTAAGCTTGCGTCCAACAAAATTGAACGCTTCTTTCGTAGTAAGATTTTGTGTCCACGAGAATTTCGTCGTGGCGTCCTAACAATGCAGTTACGTCATCAGTTTCCGACGCTAATTACCTTTGCGACCCACATTACTGAGTCCGACATTTGTTCGAAAAATATTCGCCGGTAATAGGACTTTACGTTGGATTTTTGTCCTATAACAACATAAATGTCCTAATCTGCAAAATTCCTAAGATTTGATGGTATGCATGCACATATGAATGTTCAGATGTTAGATATGTAAGTATATACGTATGAAAATGTCACAAAAGATAAATGATATCTCTAAATGTTTTATAGACTCGTCAAAGTGTGTCACCTCGGCAAAAGCGAGAAACTCAAATATTTAGATTTTTTGGGAAATAGAACACAAAAAGTGGATATTCAGTAAATCACTTTCAGCAAATAGATTATCAACATAAGCTTTTATACTGTTTAAACAGGAAGGAAAGATTTTATCAAAGCTGCTTTGAGGACAATAGGATTTTGCAGCTAAAACAAATTAATGACATCAACTTGAAGCATATAAGACAAACAATTTTTTTAATCATAAGATGCATGGAGTAACTAAAATAAACAGCCATTACAAATTAATGAGGCGGTTATTCAGAGCTTTGCATTCTTGAATTATTTCATCTTCATCCAGAAGCTCTTCCAATGCATAATTCTCCTTATCCAAGATAGTGTCCACCTGAATTTCGTACATAGAAATCAAAGGCAGTCAGACAAAAAGTGATGTATCACTGCAGTGACAAAATCCTTGCAAGCACAGTAGACAGAAAGAAAAATAAATAGATGAGTAATTGCTTCCAACGTACATAGATTAGAATATAACTTATTCTAACAGACTTTTTAAGGATCATGCAGCAAAATTTGTAAGTGTGAACACATTAAAAACTTCGGCATGATGAAAATAATAATCATTACAATCGAAAGTTATTATATAAACAGGCACCCAGCGACGTTTAATCCAACAACAAATTCTCAGAACTCCCAAACCTCATGATGGGCTGTTTTCCACATGCAAAAAAAACACAGCTATAGATTCAGATAGAAAATCGATAAGCTTCTATCTAAAAAATTAAGACTGAAAAGAAAACAATGTAAAAGAACATTACAGCTCCTCGTCATAGAATTGCCTTAAATTTCATGAACAACTCACGGATCTTCTTCGCTTCCCAATTCATTCTCTCCAAAGTACGGGAGCAAAAATGGCACCAAAGATAAAAATGAACACGTGAGGAAAACCCATGTACCATTGATCTACGTGTCCTGATTATATAATCACTTATACGGTTCACCGACCAATTCGGAAAGAATCAAAGAACATCAGAATGAATCATTTCCATTTCCACGGTTTCTACTGGAAAAACAAAACGCCTTAAAGCACAAGCATAAAATCCAGTCAAAATTGGAAAAACAATTAATAGCCACTTGCCCGAGTCGCGCCATATTCTCAACATTCCAAAATAACCCCGAACCTCTAGCACCCCTCGACAACTAGATAATCCCAAACGGATGCCCGTAAGAAAATATATACATATATTAAGAACGAAATAACAGACATCGCCATGGTACCTACACCCGAGAGCTTGGGAACTTACCGGCGAAGCCGTGGACAACCCAGTCATGCGCCAGAACATCATATTTCAGCAAATCAAAAGATCCCAGTAGGTCCAGCGACGGCCTAATCCTAGATCTAGGGTTCTTCCCTAACGAGAACCCGAGCACCGCGAGACACAATAGCCCCCCGAGCGCACCTCCAGGAGTGTCGCACGCCCAAAAAAAACCCTAGTATTCGTTGGTTTCGTCTGACGCCCTGCCCTTAACCCGATACTGAAGCCGTAAAAGACAAAGAAAGAAATTGTAAAACAATCACTGTGAAGAAGGAAGCAGAAACTAGAAAGAAAGGGAGGAGAGGGGATGAAGAGGATAATGGAATCGAGTGATTCGATCGACGAGAGCCGCCGCAGAAAGGGGAGGAGGAAGAGGGGAGATATGGATTCGACCGCCGAGCCCTGAAATTGCCTGATGATTTTTTAGGACGAAAAATGCACTATAACGTAATTTACCGTTATTATTGTTTTTTTTTAATGATTTTTTTATTATTGTTAAATAAACATTATTTTTTATGATATTTAAAAAAATGTTATCTATTTTAAAAATATGCTGATGAGTGATTTCAAAAATATATATGTTTGACTTGAAGCATAGAACAGTAATTATAACTATTTTTTTCTAAATAAAATAAAATAAAAATAAGGATAAAATAGGAAAATATTCAATATAAATATTTTAATATTAAAAATTATATAATCAAAAATAAAAATTAAATTCTCCAGCTTAACCACTTTAATTTTGAATAAAATGTCTGGTCAATTAAAAGATTATTTGATGAAAAATTAGGGCATTTACATACATATCATTGTATTCATATTTATTTACATATTAAATATTGAAAATTTATTTTATGCTTTTATAGCAATTAATTTTCTTATATCATATTAAAATATCATTATTTAAACTATTAAAAAATTATATGTTATTTCGTGCATATTTGTGTTTAGGGCTAAAATTTTAATATTTTGGTGTGAAATGTGTGAATAATATATATATATATAAAGAGAGAGAGAGAGAGATTAAACTATAAATAAAAACTAAATACATAAAATATGAAACACAGATAAATTAATAAAAACAGCCACTAACAGATTGGGAGAAGAATTTCCACTATGCACATTTATAATTTATCACTCTATAAACTTGACCTTACAAAATTGCACATAATATAAAAGACAACACCGCTATATATAGATTATAATCAAACCAACGAACTCCAAACTTTTTTAATACAATACAATTACATATAAGGTTACAATAAAGTAAAATCACGGGTGTTGGAAAAAAGATATAGTGGGTTGATCTTTTAAGCTGACAATTTATTTTCAATCTATTTGTATTCTTGAATATTCTATTTTGGTTCTCTTTATTGATAATGTTGGATCATGGTGGGGTCATCGCTAACTTTTGTCGATCAGATTGAAATTCATTTTATAAACAAGTGTCACCTGTAAATATTTTTAATTTTTAGGTATATCATCACTGGTCATTATAATATATTTTTATCTTCCAACATGTGATATTCTTCTTCAAAAAAACTTGGCAAGCTGATTTTGTAATTTTTCTTTGATTTTTTTTCCATAGTATTCATTAGAAAATTTTCTTCTTAATTGTTGATAAAACTTTTTAAAGAAAAGACCTTCTTTAGCTTGATTTTTTGCCAAACTTGATTTATTAGCTTTGATTATTTTACTAGATGAAAGAAATTTTACTTCGATTCTCATGGTTGTTCATAATTTTAATGCATAATTTTGATATAAACATTAATAATTTAAAACATCACTTTGAATTTCAAGGTTTCATGACTATATTCATGGAATTTGATATTGAGTTAAAAAATATAAATTACATTGACAATCTATTAAAATATCTGCTAGAATTTGTTAAATGTAAGAAGAAGATTCGACCCAATAAGAATATGTAGTTTTGATTGAATGTAGTAAAGTTTGAGTTTCTACTCCACAATTACTCGTTAGATTTGATTTCTAGCATCATTACGAACATCCATAAATATTCTTTTATAGAATTAAAAAACAAGAATTTTCTTATGCATGGCTTCACTATAAGTCCAATAATTAAAAAATAATAATTCATTTAAATTGATATTTTGGATTTTTTTTATTTGATAGTTTTGATCTGGTGTGGAGTCAGCTCTCATTCTTTAATTATCCTATAGATTATGGTTTCATTGTAAACAATGGGCTTGCTTTCTTCAATATAGTTGTGTTGGATTTTTACACATTTGAGCGAGACAATTATAGTTTCATACATATATCGATCAAAAAAGTATTCATGAGGAAAAGAATTAATAACAAGATATCTTTCAAAGATTGCCCGTGATGAAGTAAAAGTATAATCATCACCATTAAGATCGCGAATATGAGAGAGTGATTTTAGTGTAAATTAAAAATTAAAATTGCAAGATTTTAGAATAATTTTTAAGAGGTGATTGTGGATCAGAAGAGGAAAAAGGTTTAGTGGGAGTGTTTTGATCATCATGTAGATATTTAGTGAGATTCATGCAAGGAGGATTGCTATCACGACCTCTTCCCCTACCCCTGGGAAAAATGTTACCTCATCTTGGAGGGGTTATGGGACCCTTCCTCTTGGGGGTGATCGACCCCTAAGATTCCTTGCAAAAATTCACAAGTAAGAAAATCATGTGAGAGTTAATCTCTCTCTTAATATACTCAATATCAATGTTGAAAAAAGATAGTTGGGCTTATCATGCTGCAAAGATTTGTTTGAAGGTATGGTTTTTAACATTTTTATGAATGATAAATTTTGCAACATTATAATATATACGTAGTAAAAATTTAGCATTCAATAAATCATCTCGAAATTAGAAATGAATTTAACTACAGTGAACATTTGTACTTTGGTATTAGAATATTTTGATTGAGTTAAGTTTCATCGCCCTGAGGTAAGTCTAACAAGTTCTTCCTTTGAGGAAGGTGTTAATTTTTGCTTTAAAATTCCACCATAGCCTAATTTTGATACATTAGTTTCAACAATTTTAAAAAGTAGATGAATAAGTTAGATGAATACAATGTAGACTTTTAACTTTAGCTTTAATTTTTTGAACTACAACAGTGTGAATCTGAGACCAAACTGAGGGATTTTTTTAAAGTTTATCAAAATGCGGTGTTGTGTCTAAAGCATGATTTTTATAAAAACTAGCAACATAGTTTAAGCTCCTAAGTATCTATGAAGTTTTTTATCACTAATCAGAACAAGAAATTCATCAATGAATTCAATTCTCGATTAATAGGGATTATAGAATAGTTTGAAATAGTATGTTCTAAGAATCTAATTCATTTTGAAATATTTTAATTTTAGGTGCTGAAATAACGAGTTTATTTTTCCTTAGCAACCCATTAAAAAATATTTGAATGTTTGATATGTTGTTCCATAATAGTATAGAAAATTAATACATTGTCGATGTAAACAATAATAAATTTGGAATAAGGAATAAAAATATCATTTATAATATTTTAAAATTCAATATATATATTTTTAAGTCCAAATGACATTACATTATACTCATAATACCCAAAGGAGACTGTAAAAACAGTACTATATTATTCTTGCTCTTTTATTTGAATTTGTCAATAATCAAATTTAAGGTCAAATTTAGAAAAGAGAATATCATTATTTAATTGATTTAATAAATATTTTTATTTAGGATTAGATATCCAATCCATTTAAATATTTTATCAAGAGGTTTATAGTTAATAATCTCTCTTGAATTTCTTCACTCTTTTTCAGCAACATTTTCAATAGAGAATGTCATGCAACTCAAAGGAGAACCATATATTCTAATAATTTATACATTTCTTTTTTTGCATAAATAAAGATAATATTGGTGAAGTTTGAATGGCCTAGCTTTAGTTTGATTATCTTTCTCATTAAAGTCATCTTCATAAGTTAACTCAACGCAGTGAATTTTACTTGCCCCAAAAGCTAAAGGATTATCACCACAAATTTCGTTTTGTAATTCTTTTAGTTGTTTGGTTATTTAGTCATAAATTATCTCACTTTGAAGTTGTCCTTTGATTCTATTAATATTAATTGCTTCTCATAAGAATTAATATGAAAGATTTTATGTTTAATTCTATAAATTTCATTGATAATTATATCTTTTGGATTTGTAATAGTTTTTATTGGCATTATTTGATTTAAGAACGAACATTACGGGAAAAACAACAATAATCGGCGGAATAACCGACGCTACAGTCTCGTAGGAAATATCAACTAAAATTTTGACAGTTTGGCGACAATTTAATACATGAATAACTTCTGATGACTTCCTGATAATATTTATGACATTACCAATGGTCTATTTCCTTCTATTCATTGCACATTATAAACCGACTGACCAAACTCGTCGAAAAACCAAAACGTCATTTTTTTAGTTTATATATCAATGGTCATCATAACAATCAAACTTAATAAGTGACGATTTTATATTCATTGGGAAGCAATCAAAAAAGCTAAATTCATATTTTTTTAATAAAATAAAATAGGAAGTAGATAAGAAAAATGCTACTTTTCAAGGAGTTTATGTCATAAACTTAAGAAACGCAATTATCATATCAAATATGTCACTTTATATATGTTTAAGTGTCTGGTGATGGATTTTTTCTAAATCAATTACTACAGTTTTTCAGGTTTAACCCATTCAAGATTTAGTAAATCTCTATCTACAGGATTTATTAAATCACAATAACTTAAATCTCATATGTTGTCAAACAACTCCTTGGAACCACGAATCCTGTGGGATTTAAGCTAGGCTCAAGATTTTGTAGGATTTAACGATCCAAATCCTATTATGAAACAACCCCTAAATTATTTAGTTTGTGTTAATAATGATTTTGTAGTATATTTTTAGTAAATCCTGCTAAATTCCGGCAGCCAAAGAGCGCCTAATTTTCTAGTTTGTGTTAATATACATAAATTAGTAGATTTTTTATGGCATGTTTAGGGTTTAGGGAACATTATTGTTATTAGTGAGTGATTAGAGTGATTAGGATTTCAACAATTTGCATAGCCTAATTTTGGGATTATGAATATTGAAATAGTCACTATGTAGAGTAACATCGATGAGTGCAAACACATTTGGACTAGTAGTGGTGGTTATTTAGCTTTAAATGTTTTGTGGGAGTTATGTGACATTGTTCATTATCATGTTTTTTTATTTAATGGCTACATCTTATACTTATTCCTGCATTGAATTAATACTTCGTGAATGAAAAAATACTGTCATGAATCGAATAAATCTGAATTTCACTTATTTCAGCATTAAAGAGTTGTCTGGCAACATATGAAATTCAAATTACTATGATTTAGTAAATCTCGTAAATCCAGATTTATTAAATTCAGAATGGGTTAAATTTCAAATATTGTTGGGCGCAGA